AAGCACGGATTTGTCAATGAAACTGAGGGAGTGTCTGCCGCCTTTTAATTTATGAGCGTCACCACCCCACGCATCGGATATTATGTCTACGAAAAGCCTACCATAAAGAAACAGCCAACATTTGGAAGCAGATTAGAAAACTGGTGCGCATGACCTGGAAGGAACCAAATAAGTCTGGCAGTGGATTGGCCGTTAGCATAACCTTGAAGGGTATAAATTGAGACCTCAGTGTACATGGGTGCCAGTGATTTGTTTCTAGTACGTTGTTGAAATAAATGCAGTGCATACAATGGAACCATAGAAAAGTGTCAGATATCAGTTAATTTATTTCTCTTTCTGTCTCTCTGTCCATCCGATTACATGGTTCAGAAGTCATATTTTCCTTCTGGCTGGAACAATAACTTCAGGGATTTTTGGTTGCTCTGGTCCTTCGTATAATGTAGCGTATATCAATCTTAGGTATTTGATGCATTAATACTCGATCCCTTGTTAAACCGACGCTAGAAACGAAGAAAGAGAAATATTTGACATCGCAAGTTGGTTTTAACGTGTTTTTCAGTGCGATTTGAAAGTATACCCAGAAGCCACATGATACAATTATTAAATTTTAGCAAAAATAACATATTTCATCAATACCTACCGTACACAAGAAAATCAACTTCTAAGTCTACAACTTCGTCTTCAGTCCTAGTTTTACCATTGACACGATGACTCAGCCCTAACGGTGGGGAAAATTCATTGAAGCTCCAGTAGCCAATTCCGTCTTTCGATCTCTCTTTCCCATCTTTTTCTTTCGCATATACGTCGTAAGAAACTTGAACCTTTATAACCCACTTCATTGACGATCCGTCAACCTGCAGGGAGTGAATACCTGATGAGACTCGCAAGTCGATCACTGGCGTTTTCATTCACTGTATGGCATATCTGAACTAATTCATAATGTTTTGGTGGGAAATGATGTCCATTCAATGATGCTATGAAGTCTTAAGGCTCTGTTCCTTTGACAGTTCCAACGATGGAATTTAAATACTTAAACCACGGAACGAGGACATGTTTCTGAGGCCAACTGCTAATGACCATTATTTATAAGTCACGTCCGTTTCGTTGTAAAGTACTTTTTCTGACGACGGTAATCGACACCTCGATTGCTGAATTTTTGTGCTTTCTACGATAAAGACTCATTATTCGAAAAAGCAGAATTGCTGAAAATGGCAAAGATGACCACTCGAT